CTACTTTGCTTAATGAAAATATACCAGGGGTATTGATTAGTCAAATAGTCCTATTGAATGGGGGTTGAATCTCACCTTGTTTTTATCTGATTCTGATTGAGAATTTTCTTCCGTAGGGTTTTTTTTCCTGTTTTCCTGTTTTCCGGTTTTCCTGTTTTCGGATTTTTTTTCCTATTTTCTTCTTGGGTCTTTTTTGGTGATCCATTTCTGGTCCAGTTTGTCGTGCCCTACAGGGTGATCTATCTTGGTGGTGCTACAGGGTGATCCATCTCCGCCGTACTACAGGGTGATCCACTTCCGTCGAACCACGGGGTAGCCTAACACCATATACCGGGTGGCCCAAAAGGAGCACGCAAGTTATAATTGATTTATTTGAATATTTGTGCTATACTGAGTTATTTAAATGATTGTTTGCCCTTCTGTTTATTGATACCTGTTTGATATAGTGTTTGTTCATCGTTTATTGATTAAGAGTTTGTTTATTGATACCTGATTGATATAGATATTTGTGAAACGGAAATTGAGGTATTTTTTTCCTTTCACGATTGCTTGTTGACACCGATGCGCCTACGCCTGAGCTCTCGCGACGCAAACGAGATTGTCTTACCTACCGATACTAGTATTTACGATTTCACCTACTCAATTTTCGTAGTAGTTTTACTTGACGTATTGTAGTTTCTTTTGAGCGTCGTTACTACCGTAATTTATGGCTGATTGAATTCGTGGTATATACACCGCGCTGTTTTATTGACATTTGAACATCCATCGCGTAGTAGTGTGAATATTACATTGTTGTCTTAGAAGCGTTGTTGGTTAATCCATGTAAGTTAGGATTACTGAATAAATCATATTGGGGATCTTTATCTTTTATTTCCAATATTAATTGGTAAGTTATTGATATTGTGAGTTACTTAGGGTATCTGGAGGATTAAATTTACCTGGCGCCCATTAAGATCTATTTGAAATTTGCTAAGTTGTTTAACCCACTCCCGTCTCCACTGTTTAGCTTAGCCGCGGATACCCATCTGTCTTATTTATTTGTTACCGACAGATGATTTAGTCTCCTCTTGTGGTTTGTGAGGTGACAAGGTAACAGATTCATTGTCCTTTATTAGCTATAACCGATGTTGCCAAATGATGAAATAGAAACGAAATGTTGAATACATTATTTCATTCTTTTTTTTTGAGTATTTTAATATTTTTTTAAAGAAAAAGGGTGAAATGATGACTTTGAAATGCGTTGTTTTGGAGCTCTTTTAAGAAAACAGCTTGTTTTTCGTCAGGAGGAACATTCCCCATAAAGACTTCCTCCAAAATTCATTATGGTTTCTTGTAGTATATAAATATTATTGTAAGAACAATTTGAAGTATTCATGCACTTGAGAAAGCTAATCTGCTAGCGAAACATGTTGTGATTATATTTTTCAAATAAAGTTTGTGGATATCAAATCGTTAGGTGTAGTTTTTGAAATTACTATGGATCTTCAAGTAACGGCCGAGTCAATCAGACAATTATTTTTCTGTTGAAGTAATTTGTCATTATGTTCCAAATGTATTAAAATTAAAAAACTAGCTGTTCCTCAGATCTAGTAACAGCAAAATATAATTAATTTGATTTATAGAAAAATCCATTTACTATTATTAGAAATATAGTTAATCAAAGTTTGAGTCCAATGACCTGAATAGTATTTTCATAGAATTACTTAAATGTCAACAAATGTTTTACTCGATTCTTTATATTGACGTAACTTTTTCATTTATGAACCTCTTCAAATAAATCAAACACTATTGAATGAAACTTACTGAGTACAATATAAAGTCGGATTTTCCCAAGACGGAAAACAAAAAACTCATTTCAGTTTCGAAAAGAAACTCTGAACTCGAATTCCAACAAACAGACAAAAAACAAGTCTGAGTCGCGTGTTTTGTTGAGAACTGTTTTCTATTGTTTCAACTATCCAGTGCTTGTTTTGCTCATGTTCTAGAAAGGAAAATTGAATCTCATTTTTGTTTCGAATAAACAACAATGCAACAAATCAATGAAAACAGCCTACCTACACAGTAAAAAAGTGTTGTCAATTTCAACTACAAACTGACTGAAACTTTGGTTGAAATCCACAGTTTTTTGTGAAATCAACAAAAACAATAAATTGTTGACCTCAATTTTTTCAGGGGCAAAGCACAAGCACTACAGGAATATTCTCAAGACGCTCTAGGAGTGGGGCTTGTGCGCAGGTAGCGATTCACGTTGGATTTGAATCGCTGGAGATTAAATTCGTTCTCAGGAAGTTTATTTCACCTAAACGCAGTTTTTCAAATGAAAGAGTTCAAGGTGTACTGAGTTGAACCTCAAAACGATGAGCAGTCACAGTCTGTCGCATATTTCTGATATGTACCGGTCTTGGTGGAAGAGAGACAAATCTCCGACCTGTCTTCGTATTCCAGACTGTCAAGGTTGAAAGTGATGTTCGTGTCTCCAATCAGACGAATGGCTCCTTCCTATCTAGTAGCTACAGGGTATGCTAAGGGCGGAGCTCCGTACATGTGAACAATACTCCAAATAAGATCTGATCTGAACTTTATAAAGCATCGAAAGCTGCTGATGTGTGTAGTTTTCTGGTTCTGGTTGGAAGACAGGTTAAAAAGTCTGCAAAATACTGGGGCGAGTTCACTGGCGCACTTTTTATGTACGATGACAGGCACTCTATCAGGACCAGACGCTTTGTTGATATTGAGCTATTTCAAAATTCGCCTGACTAGACGTTGTCGAAAATTAATAAGCGGCATTGTGGATTCCAGTGAAGATGTTCAAATTGGCAAAAATGAAGTTTGTTGCGATTAGCAAAATATTTTTAAGATGGTTCTTCGAGCATTGTCAAGTCAACACAAAGACTTGTGGTTTTCACGATCAAAGTTTTCTTTCACACTCTCCAGATGAATTTCTCTATATAATAATTTTATTATATATATTATCTTATTATATATACCTTATTATATATATAAAATCCCTCTTACCTCTCATTCTATATTTGTCAATTTTGTTTCAGGTACATGTGCTCCCGCTTCTTCATAGATTTTCCCGATATCTCCCAACAGAAAGCTAAGTTGGAAAATTACTTATGGAACCATTTCGTCGAACCCGACGAAGAAGCTTTACGTCACCAGTACCTGATGCTCCTTCATGACGTCGTCGAAGAATCGACCGTTTGCCTCATGGGACACGAGAGGCGTCAAACCTTGCAGCTCATTAAAAACCTAGCTTGGCAGGTTCTCTATCAAGACCAACAGAGGATTATGACACAACAACCGCCCCCTCTAGTTTACGCAAACGGAATCGTCTACGCCCCTGTCATCCAAACCAACTGCTTCTGCACATGTAACACGACGTGGATGCAGTGTTGTTCGTGATATGAAATTTGTGGGGGAGTTGCCGGCAGCGGCCGACTGCACACGAATTCTAATATTTTGTGTGCGAAAACAACCGATAACGGTCGCCCTACTATGTGACGATGAAAGCGTCGGTCGTAACCGTAAACAACTGACAACTACCGTTAAAGGATACACTAATTAAGTGACAGGTTCGGAACCGCTCAATTCACGTTTCACGCGTCACTATAATTGCCATGTGAGAATCATTCCGAAATTTATTGAATTGAAAAACTGTGCAGAGCTGTCTTGAAACAAGTGTAGTAATGAGAATAGGTTGAAAGTTAATTGCATAATAATCATTTAGATAGATCAAAGAATCAAGAGGAGTCCTGGATTTAATTGATTTCAATATCAGAAACTTTCATTAATTGTAGATTGAATGCTGAACTAAATCAAAGCCTTCAGGATTTTTTTTGCATCATGTGCGAATTAGAGATTCTTTCCACCATTTAAATACATTTATTTTCCATGTGAAAAAGATGATAAAGATTGGTTATCATATTTTGAATTTTCAAGATTTTTCCATTTATTAATGTTTTCACTTCCCACAGCCTACAAGATTTGAAAAAATTAACAATGAAACCAATAACATTCGTTAGATTCATTTCAGAAATCTTAGTATTTAATACAGAAGTTTTTTTTTACAAATGGAAAGTGTTGGCACTTTTACTGTAAGAATTTTTCACACGGGCTAGCTCTGGAAAAAGTAGTGAAAATTCATATTCAATGAGTATACTTTTATGTTAGTCTCCAAATAAGAAGCTGAAAGAAGTTGATGACAAAATTGCTTTTCGGATGAACCCATCTCAGTACAACAACTTTTAGGATGGCTCTAATATTTTCTTTTTGTGAAATGAAGCTGACTGCTCTTAAAATACAAAGCAGTAATTTTGGTGTGAGTGGCTGTGAAAACGAAAACATTATTCTGGGTTGTGTGTATGAAAATAGCGATTAGGGAGTGAGTTTCATTTGAAATGCCATCTGAAGAGTCCATCTTTGCTAAATTCATCAAAAAGCCCCCCAAAATGATTTTGTATCAACTTTTCTCTCGGTCTGTTTCTCTATTTGCACTTGTCCTCCTTCAGGCGAATTTGAAGGAGTTTGACAATAACATTCGAAACTAGTCACTTCCTCGGAGATAAGTTCATAGAAAATTTCCGGTAACTTTTTCGTTGTCTTGAATTTAATCAAGTACTTATTGATCTTTCATACCAATATTCACCATTTTTAAATATTTTCATATATAATTTCATTTCCTCTGCCAAACAAGTAAAGGAATTGACCTATGTGTAAAAAATTATTTTGCCACATATCTTATCACATATTCGGAAATTTTTTAAAAACACTTCAAATCTTATACATGAATAAGGTAATTCATAAGTTTTGGACAGGTTTGAAATGACATATTTTTATTTTCTCTCTTTTTTTATATTTCAAATATTTCATTCAATTATCTTCAGTGGAATTGTATCTTTGATTTGAAATTGTATTTATTTTTATATTTCCATTCATTGTTAGAAATATTTATCTGAGTTTCAAACTCGCTACACCTTTAGGTTGCGTATTGAGATATATTATCGTTTGAAAATCTTCAGTTTGATCGCCCAATCGCAATAAGTGTGAAAATTACTTCCATATTGAATATTTTCAGATATATGTTGTCAATCGTAGGTAATTTTAGGTCTAATTTAAATTGTATTTTTAGAATAATGATGAAACATTCTCGAGTTAAACAGAAATACAATAGTATTAGAGACATATTACAAATCTATAATTCCTCTTAGTAGTATTACTGATTATTCACTTGTATCGTTCTAGAGACTTTCTAATGAAAAAGTGATGTAAGCAAATGGATGCTTATTTGAAAGATATGATATATCGATTGTGAAATAATGTCTCCTTATATCATAACATTTTCTGTTTAACTCCCAATGAAATGACTCTTGACAATGACCTCCGCAAATTTTGCCAATAAGTACTTATTAGCTTGGGTGAATGACTGAATAATGTGAAGGAAGGCCAGAAATAGATATTCACCCTAAAATTCACATGAAAAGATGACATCTGCAACATTTTTGACCGACCTATTAAGAACGAGTCCTCTACTTGGGATTCAGAAGTTGTATATTATATATATTATGAAATAATAAAAATAAACTTTGTCTATTTTGATTGAAATATATGTATGTTAAGGGCTTGATCTGTATATTTTCATTGTTCCATATGCCCCTTTGAAGTGTGAGATCTAAATATGTTAGAAAAACTATGAAAATTAATGAACCCTGAGAACATTCTGCAATTTAGTTTGAAATCCACAATTTTATCTACTATCTCCCAAAGTTCACTCCCCAATTGATACCCTTCATTGAAAATTTAATATTAAACTCTTGAAGCAGTTTAGGAACTTTAGAGAAAACTTTTATAACTTTCACAAATAGGAAATTGGGTGTTGATGACAAATCCGGTAAAAATGAAATAAACTTATAGATTTTGTTAGGAAGAGAGGTCCATAAACACTGTTTACCAGACATACAATTTTAATTTTTGAAACTTACTTATTACCCACAATTGGATTTTATATCCGATATAGGTATATGTAGATAATATTTGCGATCCATTTCCACATTATTGTTGGTAGAATTTTCAAAGAAATTTTGATCAGGGTAATGAATGAAAACCACTCTGAAATGGTGCCATGTAGAAGAGAAGTTCCGTTGATCAAGTAACTTATAACTTATATTTGTTCTTGTACAGTATTGAACATGCCTCGTGGTTTTGCAAACTTGAGTGAAAATATGACAAGTTGTTATTTGAATACGTTATGTTTATAACTGAATAGAACTGGGATACTTGATGAAAATCTATATGTAATAATTAGTTATGTTTATACATTTTTCAATGTTAGATGTTATGATGAAGGTCGTTTTTATAGGAAAGAAAGTTTTTGGCTGTCTACTCCTCCACTTTCATACAAAAAAGAAACAATCAATTTAAAAAAAGTAACCAAACAATGTTTATCATCCTTATAGGTATGTGTCAGAGTTCTCAGGATTATCCTGGTGCAAAAATCCGATCCTTGGCCAAATTCAATGTGATAGATTGAAGTTATTGTGTACCTACTACTTCTAATTTCTTCTTGTGAATAGTGAAAATATGTATCAACATACTCGCTTCGAAGATAGTCAAATTTCCAGTGAGTATTTTTATTTTCTTTGACAAAATAATTTCCAAACTAATCAGTATAATTTGTATATTTTCAGAGCCCTTCCTTCTACAAATATGTGGATGTCATATTTAGCTGAAGAATGACCAGAAGCAGTGGATTTGGATTCTGTCATTAGAAAAATGGTTTGGCAATTAGCTGATCTGAGTTTTGATGCAATACATTCATCAAATCATGATTTGAGTGTATGCTATGATGCTGAAATAAGAGATGCGAAAACTTTTATAGTTTGATGAAAAGATGTTGATAAAAGTGAAAGTGTAGCTTCAGATAATGAAATTGTGAATATTTGAAATATGTTGTATATATTATAAATAAAATTATGTTTCAATTAATGTGTGTTTATATCTAGTTGTTTGGTGAGTGAAGGACAGAAAATATTAAGTATTTTGTTTATTCTTATTTAATATTTCATAGTGAAATCACTTGTCTATTCGTGTTAGGAATCCCACGTTAAAAGGCGAGACCTCGTTAGTCCTTAGCTCGCACAAGTTTCTCAACTTCTGAGAGTTGTCGTTCGTATGGGGGCGACAGCTGATTAACGTAAAAAAATATTTCAAACAATTTTTTTTAACAGGACAGAGAGAGGCATCAAATGCATTGAACAAAACAGGGTCGTGAAGGATGAGTATATATACTTTGGTGTTTGCTGGAAATTTCACCTTTGGTGTTTCAAACTCTATTTCAATGACAATATAAATTATTCAGGTGTTATTATAGACAAACATTTAAGATGGAACGATCACATTACATATATTACAAAAAAATTCGAATATTATTTCATAAATTCTATTCCTCGGGAGATATTCTTACGAATAAAACGCTAATGATGTTATATAATGCACTAGCTGAATCAATTATAAAATATTGCATAACAGCTTGGGGTGGAACATTCAAAACTGCACTTCAAAATCTTCAAACTGCTCAAAATATGCTACTGAATTTGATCTTCAGAAAAAAATGGACTTATTCCACTGTTTCATTATACAAAGAGGTGAATTTCGCACCTAAATTATTAAATGCCCTTCCAGTTGAACTGAAATCTACAAAAAAATGTAATAAATACAAGCAGTTTCGTCATCCTCGCTTTATTTTTGTTTGTTTACTCTGAAACACTCGTTGATTGAACATTTATTGTACAATTATATGAAGAAAGCAGTTGAGATTGGGTCATAGCACAGGCATTTCATGCCTAGATGCCCTTGTCTCTTACTGATATTCTTCGCTATTAATAATTTATAGTTGATAAATATACAGTTCACTTATTAAAATATACATACATGTCGACAGTGGATAACTTCAAAGCATCAGGTTGATGGGACCAATCAATAATTAATAGTGGATTGTTGCGAAAGCTACAAATATCTATCTTCGGTTCACTCATAGCTTTATCATAGTACCTACGTCGGAATTTTTTTATGAATAGTAGGCTATGAGCTCCTGGTATTCTTTATCATTTCATTTTTATAATTTTCAACAAAACCTGAAGGTGATTTACCGATGAAAACATTGCTGACGGAATCCAATGTATCTTGTTCATTCATATCCTATCGATAGTAACAAATTTGCATGGGTCGTTTATTCACATCGGTAGTGGCGAATGTCTATGAGTTTGTCCGAATGATACATAATTTTCATTATAGTGGTTATGCTCGCCACCCATTTCATAGCGAATTTTGTTGAAGAAAAAGGCAAGGGCGTTATTGTATAGGTAGCAATACTTGATGACATTAGACGGTGAGAATTTTTCCTCTATATAAATATAAAAGTCTGCAAACTGACTGATTCTGATTTGATTTGAATTTTTGTTATATAGTGGACCATACGGTTTATATGTAAGTTAATAAAGGGTACTGACGGAATGAACGAACATGGGGTCCTCAAATACCTCCAATTTATCACTTGTAGTGATGGTCGACATGTTATAGCTATTTTTGATATCGCAGCTTCAATACAATGGATTTGAGAAAGTTGAGGCTACAAGCGCTCATTCTATATTTCGACCGTTTGGCAGACACACGTGGAATGAATCGACTTGGAGATTTTCTTTTCTTTAAATATTCATGATAATAGTCTCCACCAAATATATTATGCTGATTCAACTGCTGCCAGTGCCGCTTCTGCATTTTTTCGTAACAATTCTGTTGAAGTTAATAACTCAATCAATGATTACAATTTCATCAGATCCAGCTTTATACTGAGTTTTTAATGCTTATCAATGTTTTTTTTAATCAGAATACATTGATGTTATATCCTTTACCAAATGCTCACACTTTTCCACAGATTCTACTACCCAATCCGAACGTAAATATATCTACTCTGACTGGTAGGGAATGTTTTTATACTTCATCTATCTTCAAATTAACTCTATCAGTATTAGAGTTTACGGCTCCCATCATCTTTGAGATGATAGGAGCATATCCACGATAGAACAATTCGAACTCTTCTCCGACTCTGCTAGATTTTTCGAACGTTAGTTTTCTATATCAAAGTTTCCATGGGAAGTAAATCTGAAACGAACTCCAGGTTGTCATCGCAAAACAGTGGTTCTGCGACCAAACCCATCGATGCTTCCTTTACTCATTTTTATGATACATCAATGACAGTTATCGATGTTGTGAATCAATATATGAGAAATGAAAAATGTTATAGATATAGATATAGAATTTCAATTTGACTGTTATTTTTCCACCATTGAAATTGATCAGATTACGAGTATCATCCAATATTCGTAAAGTGATATTGTCGAGGTACTGACGACCGCCAAGTTGGATTGGCATATGAATAATATTTCATGGTTTCTTGGTGAGTTTGTATGCGGGCTCTACATCAATTTGAAATCCAAAGATGCTGTAGCTTTCATCACCATTCGCATAATATGTTCCAGTGGTTATATTACAATCCATACGAATAATTCTCACCTCACTGATGTTCATGGGCAATGTTACATAGGTACATCAGTTGCGAACTAAAAATTCAGCAATAGTGTTTTCATGTTTGAGGTGAATGTAATAATTCTAACGTATTTTACATTTCAGAGTAGTGTTTACATATAATGGAAATACTTCGTCGATATTCTCCTCAACCCCATTTTCCAGTTGCATGTCTTTGGATTTGATGAATTTTTAAATCACCAGGTGGACTTTTTATAATGGGGGGAGTTAGCTTTTTCAGAATAGCCGGTAACATTATTTATCACATCCACATTGAATATGAAGTTGTAAAAGTAGAAACCTTTTAAGCCCAGACCATAATAATTATTGCCGGTATCCAACTTGATTGGTGGGTAGAAGTTAGCGCGCTCAAATCGGTAGAGTGTCCCGACAATGAGAACGTAGGTACATGACATTATGCGTGCCTACATTCACATAATTTTCTTTTCAATAAAAACAGAATTTTTTTCTGTAGGTGGACCACTATTTGTATCATGAATACTGCTGCCGTTGGAATCTGTAGTGTTTGTTGAGTCCAGATAGATACATCTATTATGTAACACTAATCGTACAATGACATACGCTGATTACATTCGGGTCACAGATACGGACGATACCAGCTCTGTTATGCCAGCGACGCAAAGTACGGAAATCGCATTTAGACAATGCCAAAATTAGGTACTTTTTAGGTACCGAACTCAAAAATTAGGTGCTGTGTAACTTACACCGCAACTCATACTCAAAGTTGCGTTGCTAGCATTATGTAATGATAGCAACGCAATGAAAATAATAATGAAATAATTAATGTTAAGGAAACACGATAAGGTGCTAATTAAGTGCTAAACGGTGAGGATCGTAACATTTTCTAATTAATAAACAAAAGCTTCCAATTTCGCTAAACAACAGATCTAAGAAGCAGGTCTTTCAAAAACGAAGACGAATGCTAAAATGATTGAAATAAGCCTGGTAATAAGGTGCTAATTAGGTGCTTGCAAGAAACTAAGATGAAAACGACCGTGAATAAGCGGAAAAAAATTCGGG